GCGCGCCGCGTGTCGCCTTGTTTTCACCGTCGCCGTCGTGGCGACGTCGTGAACGACGACGACGAACGAACGAACGACGGACGGACGACCGATGATCCTTTTCCTGCGGTTTCTCCAACGACGACGACCACACCGGGACTTCGTTCTTTTTCTTTTGGGGGGTGAAGCTAGCTAAACCAACTACTAACTGTATTATCGGGTCAGGCGAAAAGGATTAAAAGGACGACGGAAAGAAAGAAAAACGGAAAAAAAAAATGGAAAAAAACAACAAGTAAAGAACATACCTACGCATTTAAGATAATGTACAAGTCTCTAGTGTGATACATTTCTACGCTTATTCTCTAACTGTAGTCATGAAGTCTAAAGTAACGATACCTCGTTGTGGTTTGTAACGCGGATTAAATATAAAAATAAACGACAAAAAAAGTAAAACAAGTAACAAGTAGTTCTGTAATAGTAATAAATAAAAAAAAAGGAATAATAATAATAATTAAAAAAAAAACAAGCAAGTGTATAAGCAAAAAATGGCTAAAAAAAAATAACGAGACACGAGTAGTAAGAATGAGGGGGAATGGGGGGAGGGGCTTGGATAGAGAGATACCGTGAGAGAGAGAGAGAGAGAGAAACACGTTAACGACACGTAAACGATCAAAAAATCCGCTTAGGCTGACTTTAAACAGATAAAAGAATAATAATAATGATAATGAAAAGAGCGAGAGAGAGAGAGAGAGAGAGAGAGAGAGAGAGCAAGAGAAAGAAACTCGCGTAAAGGCGCTAATGTACTCGTAGAATGGAATTGTCCGGCGGGCAGACGTCCTAATTATTAATCGCAGAAACATTTGAAATTGTAAAACGGCCGCCAAGAATACCGTTCGACTTATAACGAAGAAGAAGAAACCTACTGAATAATAAGAAAGCCCAGAGAAGGGAGAGATAGAGAGAGAGAGAGAGAGAGAGTGAGAGAGAGAGAGAGAGAGAGAGAGAGAGAACGATTCGCGGATCCAATCGAATCGAATGCGTGGATCCGGATGAATGGATGATTATTTCGAGAGAGAGAACGAAAAAAAAAGAGAAAACACGTGTGTGGGTCGATCGATTCGTCAAAACGTATGCATGTGTGAATTTAACGCGCAGAGTATTCGAGGATATAGTGTTCGGCATGTACATAATTCTGTATATACGAACGAATCACTGACTGTACAATACCACCCAAATATATTTATATTTCATGTTAAAAGAACCTCGATAACTATTCACTTTACGTTTACAAAGTAACAGAAAAATTTCAAACATTTTCTTTTCTCTTTCACCGTATGTCGTCGTGATTATGTTTCTTTGCGTTCGCACGCAGAGAAGAAAAAAAAGCGAAGAAGAGAGTGTTTTCTTTTAAGAAAGACACGCTTCTACTTACTCACCTATCGTGAGAAGAAGAAGAAGAAATTGGTAAGGGAAAGATATCGAAGAAGGGGAAAGTGGGAGAGAGAAAGAGGGAGGCGCGCGTGTATATAACAGTGATTTTCAGAGAACTGAATCGACAGATTTTACTAACGGCAATATGACGCGTGCGTATCGTCAAGGAGAACCAGTCCAAGCTCTCTCGTGTACGGAGAGTTTAATGATCACCACCACCCGGAGGAGGAGGATCTTCTTATTTTCGTCGTTGCATCTCTCGCGCGGCGAGCGCGCGCGCCGCTGGTCTTCTTCCGTTTCCCTTATTCTCTAGGGGATATATGTATTGCGTAACACGCGGACGGAGCGGAGCGCGCTCACTCTCTCACGCGTCAA